GTCAATCAGTAATCTTTGGAAACCATACATTACAACTCAGCTAAGATCAAAAAGTTTTTATCACGGTGGCGACGAGTCCAGAAATGGATGAGAAAGATGTTTATAAATTGGATTTATAGAAGGACTGGCGAACAAAACGTAAATTTCTTTTATACCAAGAACGAATAAGAAATTAGAAAAATCAACGATACTTGGTGGCGATAAAGTTTACGCACTCAAAATATAGCAGATGAGAAAAAAGAAGTGGTTAAGTTAGGTGGCTGGATAATTCAGAAGGACTGGTACGTGAAGTGTCCCAGCAAACGAGCTGGCTATGGGGCAAAAATTAGGAAGACCAAAGACAAGTTGACGTCTTCTCTCGCCTGGGCTGTCTTCACAAAGAAAAAATGATACACTTCACAGCATGCCAAAGCAGGGCTCATAAGAATTTTTTTAACAGTGTCGTACTCAAAATAAAAAGCAATACTGTTATGGTCAGCTGAGTAAAAACGATTCTGTTTAGCAGAAACAGAAAAAAAGAAGATTCTATTAGAGTTTAGCATAATTTGCTATTTATTTATGTTACAAAGTATTTATCAAATTAAAAAAAATTATTGAAAAACTGGTTTATATTTCTAATTCTAGCTGTTGAAAAATTTGATTAATATCTGAAACTTTGCCTCATCTCTCAGCATTTATCACGTAATATTTGCAATCGCTGTTAGCCTAACAGACAGTCATTTCTGTTATTGAAAAAATATTTTCTAATAACTGATGTCAATCAACTATTAATGGTAACTGTTACAGTAATTTTAAATGACTTTAGAAAAATTGCATTGGTTAATTGTCGCTTAACGTATCCAGTCGTTTTAGACGATAACAAGTAGTAAATTTTTAGAAAAATCTAAGATTTGATGTTTTATGGCAGAAATAAAGATATAGCCAGAGAGTATTTGTTAAGTACCGTTTGAAAATAATTATAAAATCATTGTATTTGCATTTATTCCAACTGATCATTCACTACAGTTTTAACAGTTTTTAGAAACTTTTTTGACAGAACGTTTTTTTTTTTTCTATTTTTTTAGCAATTTTTTTGGGCACTGTATGAGTGATTTTTCACTGAACAGAGTGAACGTTGCGTGGTCTGTTCAAAAACATTTTGAGTGATTGATTTTACATTAGTTTCTGCAAAATAAATTGATTTTGGAAACAACACTCTACTTTATTTTTTTAATCAACTTTTCTTCTGCTCTTTGTTGTCTCAGTGCATTTTCCTTTGGATTCTTTTTGTATATTTTGTGCCTAAAACTATGTATAAAATAAAATGTCGGTTTTTAAGCGTAGTTAAGCAAAACATTAAACTCTAACGATTTTTTCTCAACATCTGTAAATGTAATTCAAAAATTTGTTTTTTACTTTTTAATTCAAACTAATACTGTCTAAAATATTTTCATAAAAATAAAAGGGAAGTTAATTTGATTGTAATTACTTTTTTTGATCATTAAATAGTGCTGTTGCAGTTGCCAATTAAATTGTATCGTGAGTTATTATAAGTTATAACACTTTTAGCCTTCAGTTTCCTATCCATAAAAAAATTTTTTAGGTAGCAATTAAGTTATAAACTTGTTGTCATTTTTATCACTAATCTCTTGTTGCGCCAAGGAAATTTATTAGACGTATTCTTGGAGGAGGACAAACAAGTCTCAGGAAGGCTTCTTGGCGTTATTTAACACAATTTTAAAGCCTAAATTTTTTATACATATTTTTTCTGGACACAGAAAAAAAGTCTAGTACTTCAAATTTTGGGTAAGGAACTGGTCGGAATGTCAGATTTTCCGACAAAGATCTATTGTTTTGAGAGGATATGTTCAAAGCTCGTTGAGCCCACCGAGTATGCAGGAACAATTCTTTTCATAGCCTTTGAGAGAAAACTAAAACAATTTCATTATGGTATGAAACCAACAGAAACAAAGTTTATTTAAAAAAATTATTTTAAAAGTTTCGTCTTAAAAAAAAAATTATTTCTAATTTTTTTTTATAAAAAGATTATGATTTGCAGAAAGCAATATAAAAAACTTACAACACAACCGAAAATTTTCAGCAAAAAGTTATCTTGTCAAATTTTGAATTTACAGTTGAATTTCTCAGTGCCTCATTTATTTGTCAAGAATAACAAAATTATTATCTTACAGTTTTAAAAAGACAAGCGTTTTACCAAACGGTACTAGACCTCTAGAAAGATCTGTTTGTTTTATTAGACAGTCATCGATTTTTTTCCTCTTAAAAAATTATCGTAAATGCAAATTTCAGTTCCACAAAAGTATTTTTTAATGACTTTTAACGACAATTATTCGTTTAGGTAACTTATGTAATACTGCATAAATTTTAACCTTGCAGTGTTCTCATAAATTTATGATACCAGTTTTTTAGCAAATATTAGAGTTTGCAGTTTGGAACTGGTCTGTAATTGACTTTTGCACGGTCGATATTTTTTTATATTATATGTCGTTTGCTAATTGTATAATACTGCTAAGTTTCTTTTTTTTAATGATGACATTTTTGCTTTAATTTCACCAAATTTTTTTCTAAATATATATTGCAACGTGTAAAAGATTGTAGTTTACATAAGTGTATTGCCATTTGGTTTTTCAAACAACGATCAGACATTCATTCAGACCTCACTCATTGATTAAAAGCACAGGAAAAAATACTGCCAAAAATGCTTCTTGTAAAGATCATTTGGAGTGCACAGTTTGTACCGATGAAATCAGTTACTTTGCAAATATTGACAGAGGGACTTGATGTTAACATAAATGAAGAAAAGGCAAAGTGGAGAAAAAAGAATCACACTTTTCTTTGTAGTTTATATATTGTGGAAGTCTTATCAAGGTTTATAGTGTACGCATCTTTTGTTTGCCTCTAAATATGTCGGCTTGCTGACTGTAACTTTACAGTTTTAAAAGATCACCTAGTCAAAGACGGCCGTAATGATCAGGATCAATGCCCTAAAAAATTTACTATCTCCTACTACGATACCGTATTATAGGCAACCGTTACTGATAACTAAGGGCAAATTTCAGTACCTTTGGGATGCAGAAGGCAGGAAATTCCTGGATATGATCGGCGGTATTGTCACTGTTTCCGTTGGACATTGCCACCCGTCAGTTTACTCTCTTCTTCGTCGTTTTTTGTTACCAAACCTTTATTATACATATCTTTATTTGGTTTTTTTTATCTGCTATTTCGTTGGTTTTTTTAGGAGAGTGTTTGTCATATTTATTTCAGTGGTGATAATACAGGTTTTCAAAAAAGCGAAAGAATTAGCATAAAATTTAAGTTTTAT